TCTGAGATGTTCGGGAGTGGAATGCCTCATCCTGGGAGCAGATGCAGCAGAGGGGAAGGAATTTGGAATAGGTGGGTGGGAGGAGGTGTATTCTAGGTAGCTGTGGGAGTCGGTGGGCTTGAAATGAAATGCCAGAGATGGAAACAGAGGGGTCCAGGAAGGAGAGAGAGGCATCAGAGATGGTCCCCAGGTGAACTTAAGGTGGGGGTGGAAGGTGTTGGTGAAGTGGATGAACTGTTTGAGCTCCTCGTGGGAGCACGGGGTGGCGCCAATACAGTCATCAATGTAACAGAGGAAGAGATGGGGTTTAGGGCCAGTGTAGCTACGGAAGAAGGATTGTTCCACGTAGGCATAGAGGCAGGCATTGCTTGGGCCCATGTGGGTACCCATAGACACCCACTTTGTCTGTAGGAAGTGGGAGGAATTGAAACAGAAGTTGTTGAAGGCGAGGACGAGTTCGGCTAAGCGGATGAGGGTGTCAGTGGAGGGGGACTGGTCGGGCCTGCGGGACAGGAAGAAGCGGAGGGCCTTTAGGCCATCTGCATGGGGAATGCAGGTGTATAGGGACTGGACGTCCATGGCTAAGATGAGGTGTTGGGGACCAGGGAATTGGAAGTTTTGGAGGAGGTGGAGGGTGTGGATGGTGTCATGGACGTAGGTAGGGAGTGGGTTTGTTTTCACTGGAATGCAGGAGGTTGAGGGGTGACCTGGAACAAGTTTAAAAGATTGTGAATGGCATTGGATAGAGTGGAAAGTATGAGGCTTTTCCCTAGGGTGGAGGGGTCAATTACTAGGGAACACAAGTTCAAGGTGTGTTGGGGGGCAGAGGGCACGTTTGTTTAAGAGAGAGAGAGAGATGTGCGAGGGACGTTTTTCCACACAAAGGGTGGCGAATGCCTGGAACACACTGTCAGAGGTGGTGGTGGAAGCAGTCACAATAGCAGCTTTCAAGAAGCACCTGGAAAAATACATGAATAGGAAGTGAATATTGGGAGACAGATCCTGTAAGTGAAGACAGTTTTAATATGGAAGGGCAAAATACGGTGGCGCAGGCTTGGAGGGCCAAAGGGCCTGTTCCTGTGCTGTATTGTTCTTTCTTCATTCTTTGTATATCAACACATTTATTCCTGTGTTCTTTTCTTTAAGCAATCCTCTAACCACACTACAATATTAGCTCCAACCACAAGAGCTTTTTCAGAATTCTTTATAATTCTAAGTGTCACTGGCAGGTATTGCATTTTCTGTTCATCTCATGATTGTCCTTGATAAGGCAATGGCGAGCTGCCTTCGTGAACTGTTGCAGTCTGTGGTGTAAGTAAACCCACAGTGCTGTTAGAAAGAGAAGTGCCTTGTGCAACAATCTTTCATGTGTCAATCTTATTGACTACATCTCAAAATCCACAGGCTGTTGATTCAGGACAGCAGGACAGTGGATGTTGTCAATATGGACTTGAGCAAAGCCTTTGATAAGATCCCTCGTAGCAGACTCAAACTCAAGGTGAATTCACATGGGACCCACAGCTGGCAAGATGGATACAGAACTGGCTTGATCATAGAAGACAGAGTGGCTGTGGAAGGATGCTTGTCGGCCTGGAGACCTGTGACCAGTGCCGTTCTGCAGGGATGTGTTGGGACCCTTATTGTATAATATAGAAGTGATTTGGATAATGTATGTGGTGAAAACAACAAATGCTGGAGATCACAGTCGATCAAACAGCATCCATGGAGAGAGAGCAAGTTAACATTTCAAATTTAGATGACCCTTCATCAGAGCTGATGTGCAGAGCATCTGAGCTCTGCACATACCAACCAACCAACCCGACCTTCTGGTTGCCATCCACTTTGACTCCCCCTCCCACTCCCCTGATGACATGTCCATCCGCTGTCAGAGTGAGGCCAAATGTAAACTGAAGGAACAACACCTGATATTTCGCCTTGGGAGCTTACAGCCCAATGGCCCGAATATTAACTTCACCAGCTTCAAAATCTCTCCTCCCCCAACCTGTCCATTTTACTCACTAATCCAATCCACCCTTCCTACTGACCAACCACAATAACCCTCTACTTGCATCTATCTCCATCTCACCTACCCTCCACCTTTCTAGTCCCAAAGGGTTTCAACCCGAAACACTGATTTTCCTGCTCCTCAGATGCTGTCTAACAGGCTGTGCTTTTCCAGCTGCACATTTATTGACTCTAGCTGCCAGCATCTGCAGTCCTTACTGTCTTCAAAACTGCCTAATCCTAGGTACAACAAACATTTTATTAACTAAGACCTATGGGACCAGGAGTGTACTGGTTGATCAAGAGGTCCACATAATCAATGTAAAAACACACATTAAGTAATAGAACTGTCATGCAGGGCGTATACCCATCACATCATTGTATTTCATTCAAACTGTTCAGATGTTATGACAAGCCTGGAGAAGGTGGTACTTGAACATACCACTGCACCAGAGAAGCCTTCTGCCCAATCATATTACAAATTACACACTTTTTGTTAAACTGGAGTGCAAAAACTGCTAATTCTGCTACAAACTCTGATCTTTGCAATGGCTGAGAACTGTGTACCCATGTGCTAATAACTCCAACCAACTATGTGGCAGGCAAAAGACATGCTGTTTCACACACAGCATTAACTCGGACAATAAAAACCTACTTCCTTTTGGCACCACTTGTGATGAGTTTCAACCCCCAGCCCCCCAATCTGCAACTCGCTGCTGTTGCTGTCACTAATGCGTTACCATTCTGATTTCGGATATCTCCACCCATGAACCAGTTAAGGAAGCACTGATGGATAACAACATGAAAATTAGAGATAGTAGGAACTGCAGATGCTGGAGAATCCGAGACAACAAGGTGCAGGGCTGGATGAACACAGCAGGCCAAGCAGCATCATGCACCACATACATCCCCATGCAGCCTCTCTGCTCCTATGATGCTGCTTGGCCTGCTGTGTTCATCCAGCCCTGCACCTTGTTGTCTAACATGAAAATTAGATTGTCTTTAACATAGTTAATTACACCAAGCTGGAAGTGAACTGTACCTTAATTGGGTCATACATTTCAAATGTTCACTGTGTTCTGAGAAATAATATTTGGAAAGCACTTTGAATCATCAGGTGATTGCGGCAAGCTCTCCCTCATTTCAGCAACTTGCTCTGCATCAAATAAATAAATGCAACATTCATCTACCTAATACTGTCTAGCTTCAAAGATTGAATTGGTTGCGAAGGATACTACAATGAAATGTATTCCCTTCAGTCTTTCTATTACGTTGGGAGATCACAATTCAGTTACTAATTGCATGTTTCATTGATAAAAGTATTACAGAGTTTCTTCACAGCTCAAACTTTTAACACAAAAGAATCTATACATTCCTTCAGAACAGAACTGATCTCAGTAACTCAAGGCCTCTCAAGCCTGATCAGTCGAAGTTTAGGCATGACTCTCTCCAATTACAACCCTTCAGTTTGAAGGAAGCTTTTAGTTATATGGTGCTTTCATAACCTTGGCAATTTATAGAATCATACAACACAGAAGAGGTCTTTCAGCCCATCAATTCTGCACTACCAAAAGTATACTACCACCTCCACTAGTTCCATAGTTTTGAATGTTATGACACTTCCAAGATCTCATCCAAGCAATTTAAAAGATTGCAAGGTTTCCTGCCTCAACTACCAGCCCAGGCAATGTTTCCAGACCCTCACCATCCTCTGGGTGAAGAAGATTTTCTTCTAAATCCCTCCAAATCTCTTCCTTTCTCCGTACAATTGTGCCCTCTCATTATTAACTCTTCAACTAATGAGGAACAGAGTCCCAAAACTCTCTACAGCAATGAAGAAGTCACCGTAAGAAATACAGCAACCAATCTGTAAACAGCATGCTCTCAAACAGCAATGTGATAACAACCAGTTATCTATTTACGTGATAGTACTCCTGCTGTTTTTCAAATTTTTTTCTAATCCATTCATGGGATGAAGGCGTTACAGGCTAGGGCAGCATTTATTTGCACCAGGTGGGTTTTTCCCAACAATTGACAATGGATTCATGGTCATCACAAGACCCTTCATTCCAGACGTTTATTGAATTTGAATTCCACCATCTGCCATGGCGGGATTGAAGCCTGGGTCCCTAGAACATTACTTGGGTCTCTGAATTAACAGTCCATTGATAATGCCACTTGGCCATTGCCTCCCCAACAGCCACGGGACCTCTTTCATCAACCCTCTGATATATGTTCCCTTGTTCAATATCCATCTGAAAGACAGCATCACCTACAACAAAGCCATTCTCAGCAAGGTGCGTTCATGAACATCAGACACAGATGTGAGAATACTACCCGCTGAGCCATGGCCGACACTACTGTAAACATAAAAACACTGAAGATAGGAGCAGGAGGTGGCCATTCGGCCCTTCAAGCCTGCTCCACCATTCATCAAGATCATGGCTGATTGTCCAACTCAATAGCCTAATCCTGCTTTCTCTCTGTAACCTTTGATCCCATTCATCCCAAATGCTATATCTAGCCACCTCCTGAATACATTCAATGTTTTGGCATCAATTACTTCCGGTGGTAATGAATTCCACAGGCGCTCACCACTCTTTGGGTGAAGAAACGTCTCCTCATCTCTGTTCTAAATGGCCTACCCTGAAACCTCATACTGTGACCCTTAGTTCTGGACACACCCACCACCGGGGACATCCTCATTGCATCTACCCTGTCTAGTCCTGTTAGAATTTTAAGAGTCTCTATGAGATCCGCCGCCCCACCCCACCCCCGTCAAAATTGCAACAAAAACAATCCTAACCTAGTCAATCTCTCATCATACGTCAAGTGTGTAACTTCATTTGAATGAACAGTGGAGAACCCCTCCTTCAGTCGCCCCCCAACCCCTTCCGCAGTCACCCCAATTACCCCTTCCCCTCCCCTCCCCTCCCCCACAGTCGCCCCATAAATCCCGCCCAGTCAGCCTACACCCCAACCTCCAAGACTCCCACCTTGCCGTATCTCCTGGTCCTCCAGTACATTGTAGGATCCGTAGTCCTCCACCCCATGCATCCTCAGGATCTGGACCACCGCGTTACTGAAGCCGCACATTGGCTGTGCCGGGGTGCCCTTGATAAAAACCACTACCTTGTCCTTCTTCACCAGGCCCTCCAGCCGCTTGCGGGTCGCGGCCGCTACGGCGGCGCTGCCCGTCCCCTCACCATCCCCGGTGCCGCTCGCTCCTCCTCCGCCAGCCGCGCCCTCACTCAGATCTCGCCTGGGGCCCTGTACCACCGCCCTCCGCGCTGCGGTCCTACACGATATCCTCAACAGCGAAAACATGTCTGTCCCGGGGTGAGAGGAGCTGCTCGTTTCCCCACTCCCTCAGTCAGCGGACTACACCCCACTCGATCCCCATTGGCTATTCACACGGTGTCCCCGCCCCATGCCTACATTCCATTGGCTATACTTCACATCACTCATAGCTCATAAACATCTTATTGATTGCTTTGTCCGTCCATCAAATGGCACGCCCAATAGACGAGATGGATATCTGATGCCTGCCACCCACTTGGCGAAGCTTGCCGCTAACCGTAAAGTCTTAAAATATAAATCGTATCATCCACCTTAATTGAAAATATAATCAAATAAAGAATAGACATAGATCCAATTTATTAGTTTTTGCGTAAAGACGTAACTAAGTTCCACCCTTATTGCCTCTGATTGGATCGTTGTGGGACAGTAGGCGGGCAGTGATTGGATGAGTGACACGTCAATCAGAGTGGTCGGGGTTCTGTATCCGGGGTCAAGGTCACGGTGTTAGGAGTGGGAGCTGGTTTCAAATCGGACGCGGCTTATTTCTTGGTAACGGCTGGAGGTAGGGCGAGAGCTTGTCTTGGGGGTTGGGTAGAGGAAAGAGGGAAAGTAGTCTGGTGTCCGCCGTTCCCATTAGGTGGCCCAAATCCCGGCTTCTTCCCCTGATGACAGTTGCCGGAGTTCTCCGGTCCCCATAGCAACTGCCTCCCCCACCCCCGGCTGCAGTGCCGGGTTCCTATGGTAACCGCATCCCTAGTCCCTATTTGGGTTTATCCCTAAACACAGCCTCCCTCCACATTATTGCTCATGGGAACAGGAGGAGGCTATTCAGTCCCTTCAGCCTGACCTGCTATCTAATCCAATGAAACGTGGAATGATTGTAGTATGGAAGGAGGCTATTTCGTCCAATAAGCCTGTGTAGAGTCATACAGCGCAGAAACAGACCCAAAAACAGAAGTTGCTGGAAAAGTTCAGCAGGTCTGGTAGCATCAATGAAGAAAAGTCCGAGTTAGCGTTTTGGGTCTAGTGACCCTTCCTCAGAACAGGGAGGGTCACCGGACCCGAAACTTTAACTCCGATTTTTTTTCCTCGCAGATGCTACCAGATCTGCTGAGCTTTTTCCAGCAACTTCTGTTTTTGTTCTTGATTTACAGCATTTGCAGTTCTTTTCGGATTTTACAGAAACTGGCCCTTTGGTCTATCTTGTCCATGTCGACCAGGTTTCCTCACCTGAACAGTTCCCCTTTTGCCTGTGTCTGGCCCATATCCCTATAAGCCTTGCAGAAATAGTAGAAACTGCCGATGCTGAAAAATCTGAGACAACAAGGTGTAGCGCTGGATGAACGCAGCAGGCCAAGCAGCATCAGAGCTGTTGGTCGCCCTGCAATTTTTCTTTGTTCTCTCCAGGTGCTTTCTCCGTTCCCTTTCAAAGCCATAATTCCCTGAGACAATGCCCCAGTAACCTACCTGTTGTGTTTTTATAAATTGCCTCATGTTGCCTTTGGTTCCCTTGACAGTGGCTTTAATCACTGGGCCCTTCTGCCAATGAGAATGGTTGCTGCCATCGTGCTGTTCAGATACTTCATGATTTTGAAAACTCATCAAATTTCCTCTCAACCAATTTATCCTTATCAGTTGTTCTCCTTAACCTTTTCTGCACCCTCCCTCAAGAGTTTCAGTGAGATTACAACTAATCTGTTTGAGCGCTATGTAGCAATAAACGTATTAATTTTAGAATTAAATATCAACAGGTGCATCTACTCGTCTCATTGTGGGAATGTTTCCCACAATGAATGACATAAGATAAAAGAGCAGAAGTAGGCCATTCAGCCCATTGAGTCTGCTCCATCAGTCAGTGAGGTTATGGTTGGTCTGATAGTCTTCAACTCCACTTTCCTGCCTTTCCTCATAAGCCTTGATTTCCTTACTGATTACTAAGTTAGTTACTTGTTTTCTTACTATGTTATCTCAAACTTGAACGACTCAGCCTTGACAGCCATCTGAGGTGGGTATGGCTCTTATTTTAAAGTTATCATCTCGTTCTGGATTCCATCACCTGGTGGAATCAGTTTCTCCCTATCTACCCAATCAGAGGTTTTGAAATCATTAAAAACCTAGGAATTTAATTCTTAGTTTAAAAAAAGCATGATGATAAATCTTTAAATTTGTAGGCCTTGCAGTGCTAATATGCACAGCTCACAGACCTTGCAGATTGATGTTGTTGCTCCAGAGACTTGAGCATGTACTAAGCTCCTGCTGAAGCTGTGCATGCTTAATGCAGTCATGGTAACTAACAACCATGAGATCTTTGAGTTTGTGTTCTTGTAACCTGAGAAGGAAGATCCTAGAAACAATCTAGCTGTGGCTCAGTGGAGTCCCTGTCTAATTACAAAGTTCTGGGTTCAAGCAATACTCTAGAATATTTAGCAGACCCATTGCAGTATGGAGGGATTACTGCACTATCAGCGGTGCCATCTTTTGGATGAGAATTAAGCTGAGACTCTATTTATCCTCAGATGGAAGTGGAAAATCTATTTTTTTGTTGCAAGACAGAAGTTTTACAGTGCAGAAGAGGCCATTCAGCCCATCATGTTTATGCGAGCTCTCTGAATGAGTTCGCCTAGTGCTGTGAGGTGAGACAGCCCTTGACAAGGCTACATTCAACAGAATGTGGCATCAAAGAGCCCTAGCAAAACTGGAATCAATGATTATCGGGGGCAATCTCTTTGCTGGTTGGAGTCACACCTGACACAGGAAGATTGTTGTGGTTAATGGAGGCCAGTCATCTCAGCTCAGGACATCTTTTTTGGAGTTCCTCAGGGTAGTGTCCTAGCCCCAATTATCAGCTGCTTCATCAAAGACCTTCCCTCCCTCATAAGGTCAAAAAAGGGGATATTTGCTAATGACTGTGCAATGTTCAGTACAATTTGCAACTCCTCAGATATTAAAGCAGTCCTTGTTCAAATGATCTGGATAATATCCAGGCTTGGGCTGACAACTGGCAAATAACATTCACGCCGCACAAATCCAGGCAATGACGAACTTCAATAATAGACAATCTAACCACCGCCCCATGACCATCACTGAGTCCCCTGCTATAGCATCCAAGGGTTACCATTGACAAGAAACTCAACTGAACTTGCCACATAAACACAGTGGCTACAAAATCAGGTCAGAGGCTAGGAGTACTGCACTGAGTAAATCACTTCCTGACTCTCCAAAGCCTGTCCACCATCTACAAGGCACAAGTCAGGAGTGTGTTGGAATACTCCTCACATGCCTGGATGGGTGCAGCTCCAACAACACTGAAGAAGTTTAACACCATCCAGGACAAAGCAGCATATTTGATTGCCGCAGCATATTTGATTGGCACAACATCCACAAGCGTTCCACTCCTCCACCACTGACGATCAGTAGCAGCAGTGTGTACTGTGTCCAAGAAGCACTGCAGAAATTCACCAAAGATCCTTAGATAGCTCCTTCCAAACTCTCAATCACTTTCATCTAGAAAGACAAGGGCAGCAAATACATGGGAGCATCACCAACTGTAAGTCCCCCTCCAAGCCACTCACCATCCCGACATGAAAGTATATTGCTGTTGCTTCAGTGTCACTGCATCAGAATCCTGGAATACCTACCTTTAGGGCATTGTGGGTCTACCTACAGTAAATGGACTGCAGCTCACTGTGATCTTCTCAAGGACAGCTAGGAACAGGCAATAAACGCTGGCCAGCCAGCGATGCCCAAGTCCCACGAGTTAATTTTAAAAAATCTACCCCCTTCTCCCTGTAACCCTGCACATTCTCTCTATCTTAATAACCATCTTACTCCCTTTTGAATGCCTTAACAGAGCCTGCTTCCACCACACACTCTTGGGCTGTGTATTCCAGACTCTAACCGCATGTTGTTTTACTGTGTTACTTTACTTGCTTGTTTGATGAATGACCATGTCTCCCAGTCCACTTGAAGCCTTCTGTGATAGGTGGAAACTGTAGGCATTAAGAGTCCTTCACCAGGAATGTACCTTAATTCGATTTGTTAAGTTTCCTTTAAGTTTTGGAGTGTGGGGAAAGAGGTGATTTGTTACAGCTTATTAGCGCTGCCGTTTTATTTTTAATATTAATTAATTATCATAAGAACATAAGAACTAGGAGCAGGAGTAGGCCATCTGGCCCCTCGAGCCTGCCCCGCCATTTAATAAGATCATAGCTGATCTTTTTGAGACTCAGCTCCACTCACCCGCCTACTCACCATAACCCTTAATTCCTTTACTGTTCAAAAATTTATCTAGCCTTGCCTTAAAAACATTCAGCGAGGTAGCTTCAACCGCTTCACTGGGCAGGGAATTCCACAGATTCACAACCCTTTGGGTGAAGAAGTTGATCAGTTGAAACTAGTTGAACATGAAGTGGAAAAACTGAGAATGTTTTTAAAAAAAAGAACATGGAGGTATCGTGGATTAGAAGCTGGTTTGATATTGTGTGATACTTCACTTATCAGCATTTTCAGCCATGTACTTAACTTGTGCGCTGCATGGATAGTGGTTCAGGCTTATCTCTGAAGTAGTGGAAGCTGTCTCCTCTCATTGTGTTTGCTCAGTCTGCATGGAACTATGCAGGGAGTAAGCAAATGTACACCATCACAGCAGTATATAACTTGCAGTTACCTCTGGCCCACTCCTTTACCACACTCATGGACTCCTGTTGTCACGGAGATGCTGGCTTCACCAGTGCCTTCATCGATCGCCAAACAGGAAGAGTAAAGTGTGCCAGTCCTAGATATTGTTGGTGAAACGAGAGCACGGTTCTGTCAGACACTGAAGGCTGGTACATGTCTTTTCAGTCTTGTATAACGTTCCCACAGAAAGAGGCTATTTACTGGTTCTATTAGATTGTAATGGATCTCTATCTTAACACTGATCCATATTCCCTGATACACTTATCCAACAACATTTTTCTCTTTACCATATGTTGTGTGCTGAATGTTTGTTTTTTATGTGACCACAGCTGGTCATCCTTTTTTCAGGATGTCTGAATATTTCTCCCTGGAAATATCTTGATACAATTGACATGTAAATGCTGCTTATTAAAATTAAATTTAACATTTGATGGCTCAAATTCATTGTCTGGGGTTATATACAATCCAGTCAAAAAATATAGTAAATGGTGCTTGGAGATGATTCACCTCTTAACCAATGGGGAAATTGTTTAGACTTTCAGCTGGGTGGGAATGCACTTGCCTGGTTGCACTCTTATCTAATTGTAGCCACGGTATAACTTCTTTTCCTACTCCCACGTTATTATCTGTGGTTCCCCCAATGATCTATCATTGGACCTTCCTATTTCTCATCTATATACTGGCATACCGTGGCATTGTCCAAAAGGACAGTGTTAGTTTTTGAAAATGTGTTCAGCACACTGAGCTGTCACTATCACCTCTCTTGAGTCTAGCACTGTTCCAAAATTTAAAAAAAAAAATCTTTTGAGAGCTGGAGACACCTCTGGCTAAGGCAGCATTTATTGCTCATCCCTAACTGCCCTTGAGAAGATGATGGTGAGGTAGCTTCCAGACTGGTGCAGTCCCTTGTTGTGAGTACATCCACAGTCCATTATGAAGGGAGTTCCAGGACTCAGTTATAGAGGAATACAGCATGGAAACAGGCCCTTCGTCCCAAACTGGTCCATGCTGACCATGGTGCCCACTCAACTAATTCCGATTGCCTGCATTTGGTCCATATCCCTCTAAACCCTTCCATGTAGCTATCCAAATGTTTTTTAAATATTGATATTGTACTTGCCTCAACCACTTTGTCTGGCAGCCCATTCCATATACGCATCACTGTCTGTGTGAAGAAGTTGCCTCTCAGGTCCTTCTTAAATCTTTCCCTCTCACCTTAAACCTATGCCCTCTAGTTTTCAATTCCCCATCCCTGGGAAAAAGACTATGTGCATTCAACCTATCTATGCCCCTCTTGATTCTATACTCCTCAATAAGGTCACCCCTCATTCTCCTAGGTTCCAAGGAATAAAGTCCTTTCCTGGCCAACCTCTCCCTATAACTCAGGTCTACTAGTCCTGGCAACATCCTCATAAATCTTCTTTGCACACTTTCCAGTTTAACTCTGTCTTTCCTATAACATGGTGACCAAAACTGTGCACAATACTCCAAGTGCGGCCTCACCAACAACTTATACAACTATAACATAACGTCCCAGCTCCTATAGTCAACGCCTCAGCCAATGAAGGCTAGCATGCTAAATGCCTTCTTCACCACCCTGTCCACCTGTGACGCTGCTTTCAATGAACTATGTACTTGTACTCCTAAGTCCTTCTGTTCCACAACACTCCTCAGGACCTTACCATTTACTGTATAAGTCCTGCCTTGGTTTGACACCGAAGGAACGGCAATATATTTCCAAGTCAGAAACGAACTTGCAGGCGGTGGTGCTCCCATGTATCTGCAGCCCTTGCCCTTATTAGATGTATTGGGTTTGGAAGGTGCTATTGAAGGTGATTTACTGTAGTGCATCTTCTAGATGGCACATATTGTATTTATTGCATTGTTTGTCTGACAGCCTGTACTGGATGAGTAAAAATTTCTTCCAATTGAATAATGAGAAGACTGAAGCAGTTATCTTCCATCCCCAACTCAAACTGTGTGTCCTAGCTACCAACTACATCTTCTTCATGCAAACTGTTTAATTCTGAACTTGACCCTTCGCAGCTCTGATTCATGTTTGACCCCGAGATGAGCTTCCAGCCACACTTCTGTCTCCATAATGTGTCCTGCTTCATGCCTCACCTTATCACTGCGGTAAACTTCATCAATCCATTCTTACCTCTGGACTATTCCATCATGTTGTAGCTGATCTCCCTCATCGTACCCTCAGAAACACGGGGTCATTCCACATTCTATTACCAATCTTCTTCGTTGCACTAAGTCCCTTTTGTTCATCATTCTTGTGCTCTTTGATCAAATTGCTTCTCAGTTAAGCAATGTCTAGATTTCACAACTCTGGTCCTTGTTTTCAAATCTCTCAGTAATCTTGTTCCTCTTCAGGAACAATATATGATGTGCTCGTACAGGGAACATCATCATAGTCATCAAACACTTGCTAGCGAGTATGATTGTCTACCTAGGAAATTCCTGGTCTCTGGTCATGAGTTCTGTGGGTCCTTGTGTGGCTGATGAGCCCAATCCTAGAGGCACATCTCCGACCACATACTTGGCAGGCATTTCCGGGAAGTGGAACTCGTCCTTGGCCTTGAGATCATTGGTATTCCTTTCTGTGGTTCCTTTTCCAGATTTCCTCTTGCCACTGGGTGTTCTCAAAGAACTGTGTCCCTTCATACAGGAGTTTCCTCCAAGTTGGTTTCTTCTTGAGGGCAACCTTCAGGCAGTCTTTGAAATACTTCCTTTGCCCTCCTCTCATTCAAGTGCCTTCTTTGAGCCGGGCGAAGATGATGTGCTTTGGTAATTGGATCTCAAGCATCCTAAGCACGTGGCTGGCCCAAGTGGAGTTGGTTTCAGATGACCATGGTCTCGATGCTGGTGTTGCTGGCTGCTTCAAGGATACTAATGTCGGTATGCCTGTCTTCCCAGATGATGCAGAGAATCCATCTCAAACAGCGTTGATGGTACTTCTTAAGGGTCTTGAGGTGGTGTCTATATGTTGTCCAAGTTTTAGAGCCATATAGAAGAGTTGGAGGGATGACTGTCTTATACACAAGGATCTTGGTATCAGCACAGATATCACAGTCATCAAAAATTCTCATGCTTAGCTGTGCAAAGGCGGTCCTCACAGATTGGATGCGATATTGAATCTCCGCATCAATGTTAGACTTAGATGAGAAGTAGCTTCCCAGGTTGGGGAAATGCAGCAAACATAGAAAATATAACAAACAATTAGGAAAGCAAACGGCATGTTTGTTTTTGTTGCAAGGGGATTGGAGTACAGGTAAAAGGAAATCATGCCACATTACATAAGGCATTTTTGAACTCATACCTGGGGTAATGTGCGCACATTTGGTCTTTATTTTCTAAAAAAGGGTATACTTACATTAGAGTTGGTACAACAGAGGTTCACTATATTGGTCTTGGGATGAAAGGATTGTCCTTTTGATAAAAAAATAAGTCAGTTAATCTACGCTTTGGAGTTTAGAAGAATGAGAGGAGAGTTCATTGACGTGCAAGATTCTGAAGAGGTTTGGCAGGTTGGTCAATAGGAAATTGTTTCCCCCTGGTGGGGAGTCGAGAACACATCCCAGAATAGGGGCAATCATTTCGAATTAAGACAAGGAGAACTTTTGTTTCAGAATTATACATCTTTTCAGTTCTCTAGCCTGGAGGCTTTAGAATGCTCCATTGCTGAGCATGATCAAAGCTTGGATAGATGGAATTTTGTTCTGAAAATTGGAGGATATAGGAGTAGATGAGAAAGTGAAACTGAAACCGATCAGCTGTGATTGTATTGAATAGTACGTTAGGCTGGAGGAGCTGAATATAATGTTCTATAGAGATAGTAGGAACTGCAGATGCTGGAGAATCTGAGATAACAAGGTGTAGAGCTGGATGA